ACAATGTGTGTGTCAGCTACACTGCAGATACCAGCAGTTTATGTCCCTGTCACCTGTAACAGCCTTGGCTCTCATAAGTAATAAGAGACAAGGAGGGAGCAAGTGTCCTGTGAGTAAAGAAGCAGAGTGGAAGGGAGAGGAGAATGAAAGCACCTCCCAACTCTGCCTGCCTTGCATACATTAGTTAATTAAACATAATCAGCAAAATAGCCAGACCACTGACACATGTTGAATATATCTTGGGGTTTAACAGCTTTTGCTATATTTTATGATGTTTCATTATATTTATATTTATGTTTGTTTATTTATTTATTTATTTATTTATTTTTGAGACAGAGTCTCACTCTGTCACCCAGGCTGGAGCATGTTGAGACAATCTCGGCTCACTGCAACCTTCGCCTCCCAGGTTCAAGCGATTCTCCTGCCTCAGCCTCCTGAGTAGCTGGGATTACAGGCACACAACACCACGCTGTGTTTTTAATAGAGACGGGGTTTCACCACGTGGGCCAGACTGGGCTCAAACTCCTGACCTCAGGTGATTCGCCCACCTCGGCCTCTCAAAGTTCTGGGATTATAGGTGTAAGCAGCCATGCCCAGCCTCGTTATAATTAAAATAAATATTTTTCCTTTCTAACTTCTTCTACTTCCCACTTAATTCCCACTCCATAAGGTACTGGATACAGCATTGTATACTAGTTATTCTCAGAGGGGTTGGCTGGGGGAAATCAGTAAAAAATTTTGGCTTTTGAGTGTCAAGCTGGTATGGTAACTTCATAGCAGATACAAGATCCTAATGCTAAACCTCTGATTAGGCTCAATTACTTCTTGCTGATAGGAAGAAACAGTTCTTGAAATTTCAACTTCTGGTTTTGAAAATAAAGAGCACATACTAAAAAATGTACACATGGAATTTTTCCATACACGACTGGGAAAGTACAGAATGGTATAAAGTTTTTCATTTCCCAGAGTTAAGAATTTAAGATTAGGCAGACTGCTGGGCTATGAGCATGAGGGAATGCAGCTTCAATTAAACTCTCTTGGCCTATGGTGGGTAGAGATGTGGATGGTGGTGGGATTGGCAGTTCATTATGTGGACCCAGAAGGAGGGCTGATGTGTTTCTTGTGAAGAACCACAGAGTTGAAGTCACCGCTCCCAGGTTCCCGGGGTGGAGCCAACACCTCTACAAGTTTCATGGGAAAGTGGTGCCTTGAGAAGGGCTTTAGGTCTGTAATCACCAAAGGTTGCACTAGTGAAGTCCCTGTCACTCAGTCCTAGTCAACCCAACAGAGCTGAGGAGAAGGAGCTTCTGAGCTCATTCTGCCCCTAGAGGAGGTCTAGCAGAGACCTCTGGTTGGGTCTGGAGATGTCACAGGCACTGACATTCTGAGCAGAAGACCCAGCAGGGCCTACACCAGCAGGGTGGCAGTGGGGATGGAGACCGAAGTTCATGATTCAGGCAGGTATTCGGGATGCTCTGTGCAGCCTTGGGGATTGGGGGAACATGGTGAGTCTGTGGGACTTTTATGTCTTTCTAGCCCAGCAACCCCAGCCAGCCTGATGACTCAGACCTCAGCAAATATCCTGTGGAGAACACGGGCCATGTAGAGATGCTGTCCTGTGCAACTCCTGAGGCTCAGCTGCATTCTCTTTCCCAGGAGAGTTCCTCTGCCTGTGCCAACTCAGGGCTTGTGTCCACATGCAAACTTGGCAGATACAGCAGGAGGACGAAAAGTCAGGTGAGCGTCAGCTCAATGACAAAGGGTATTTATTGTCCTGGAATGTAAATCATCTACTCCCCTTTCACTACTTTCTGAAGTAAATATTATGTAACTTTAGCCTTTTTATTCTTTTAAATTTTTCATAAATTTTGCAGCGGTTGTTTTGGACTTTCCATTCTTATATCACTCATTGTACCCGGGAACAAAGGTTCCTTTCATTTCTTTACTGAAATAAGGTTTTAGAGATGACTATGTTAGTACTATGTAGTCATCATAAGAAAAATGTTTTCAAATGATAAATGAATGCATTTTTTTTACAATTAGTGGTTTGTACATGAATATGAATCTGATTTCTACATTCTGTTAGTAATGGTATAGAAAATATTTGCTTTCAGTATTGTCTGTTTAAAGGTGTGCTTTAAGAATATTTTAATATTCTTTAATACTGAGTATGCCAGTTCTGTGTCATGGCTTGGTAGGAATAAAGTAAAATGATGTTTGAATCAACAGGATAAAATCATCCTTTTATTGATTTTGATTAAGAACGTTGCGTTAGAGATGATTTTCTATTCCAAGATAACGGATTCCATGGCAAGTGAGATTACATTTATATTCTTAACCAGACAGACCAAATTTAAAAGGAAAAAGTGGTTTATAGCAAGTGGTTTGTAGCACATGAAATAAATGACAATTCTTCAGGGTATATTTTTACACATATTAACAAAGAGGGCACACAAATCCAATAAAAATTCTGACCATTTTGCTATCACAGTCACCAGTTGGGAGCCTGGAGACACTGTACATCCTCCTGTGAGCAGGACACCCACTGGGACCCTGCACAGTGTGCTGGCCCCAAAAACAAACCTCATAAGGAAGCTCAGCTTCTCAGTGCAGCGTAAGCAGCTGAAGTTTTAGGGGATGCATCCCCAGCAGTCAGACTCAGTAGGTGATGGCTGGAGAGCCTTTGAAGAAGAGGCCGTGGATCCTTACTTGTAGGCATGGGCTCCTCTTCTGTGTGAACAGGGCCAGGGCCCTTCAGGATGCCTCCCAGAGCCTATTCCTTCCTCCCCAACTTAGGGCGCTTGGGCCCCACAGACTGTTTAGCGAGTGGCTGCCACATCATTTTTGGAGCAGCCACTGAAGTTTCTTGCTGTCCACATGGCCATAGGGATGCTAAGTTATGGTACTGGGAGAGGACACTAGTGTCCTCACCTGCTGCCACAAAGTCTTTCAGGACATTTCTTCCTGCCTTTGCCAAGTGGCCTCACTCTCACCAACCATCAGGAGGATGTAAAACAGTGGGTACTGCATGATTTTTGGCTTTTGAGCACGTGAAAGCTCATGGGAGGCTCACATATGTACAGCCTATAATAATATCATTGCTATTTTGACTTTCCTTTTCTCCCAATGCTCTGAGCAGTTACCCACTCTGCTCATCCCCTTTCAGACTTTTCTGTTGTGAAACTGCTAACGCAGGTTTTTCTTTCTGTATGTGTGCTCATCACATTCCCGGTTTTAAGGATCAAATGTTTTGAGTGTAATTTGCTTTTCTTTTACTAGTATTTCAGAGCGACATCCCAGGTGACTGATTTAAAAACTTCTCTGCTAAAATGCATGAATACGGCTGTAATTTGGGGGCTATAAATTTATTTCTATTTGAAAATAGAAGCTATAAATGTATTTTGAACTAAAAGATAACATTGCATATGTAAATTTATGAGATTCCCTTTTTTGATTCTTAGAAATTTAGATATACTATGTTTTCCTTCAGTTCAAAATATTTCCGTAGTTTCTATTTTTGTTTCTTCTTTGTCTCAGTTTTATTTAGCAGTGTGTTACTTAGTGTTTAAATATTTGGATATTTTTCTAACTTTCTTTACCCGCTTTCTAATACAATTCCTTTGGTTTCTGAGAATTTGTTTTGTATGGTTTAAATTCATTTAATTTCCTTAAAATATCTTGGGTCCCAAAATATAATCTTAGAAAATGTTTTGAAAAGATCCTGGAATGGGCTGCATGGTGGAGCATTCTCTAAGTGGCGATGATGTCTGCATGCTTGATGGTGTTGTCTGTGTCTGCACTGGCCCATGTGGCCAGGCTGTTTGCAGTGCAGGTTAAACCTGCTGCAGAGACCTTTCCTGCCTTGGGTCCTGCTACTAAAATCTGGCCAATTTCCATGTCACCTGGCAGGTGGGCCAGACCTGCATTCCAAGATGTGTTCTGTGTAGCCTCCAGAACCCAAAAAGGCCTATTAGGGGCTCTGTTCTTTTCAAGACAAAGCTACTCATTAAACACACTGGAATGGAATAGGCATTCTTTTCTCCTGAACTCTGAGTCTCTCTGTCTCAGTGCTGAGACTGCACCACATCCAGGCTGGGAGAGACTCAGGTCTCACTTCTGAGTTGACAAGAACCTGGAAGTCCTAACAGGACCTGATTCCACATGACCTAGGAGACCGTGTGGAAGTTTCCCTGAACACCACTCAGAAAAAACATAATGCAAAACTGCCTTGTTGATTCTGTGTCATTATCCTAGGAAATTCTTCCTTTAAGAGAGCCTTCTAGTCAGTCTGGTATATGTGGGATGATTATGATGGAATTTATTGAACAACTGGTCACCAGGAATTCTATATTCACTACCTGAGGCATAAAATTTGTTCCCTCTTTCCTGTTACTCAAGCTGAGCTCTTGGCTCTAAATGTAGGAGATTCACATCATTCTTCCTGTGAGGCCTTTGGAGAGAGTGCTCATATGGGGCTCACGTGCCAGGAGCAAGGGGAGGGCAGATTCCAACACTTGCATCAGACATTCTTGAACAGTTATCCTGGAAGCAGCAGATACCAGACAACTCTTGAACTGGCTCAAGGCTGTTTTTTATTTGTGGGTTTTCTGTCCAGCAGTGCTTATGGGGATGGGGCTGTTTCCTTCTCTAGATTAGCTGAGTAGGAGCTCAGTAGGGTGGCATTCACCTCCCAGAGGTGCATCACAGAGGCACATTTCCACATAGTCAGGGTCCTTGTGCTTTCTTAGAGTCATGCCTTACACAGTGTGTCCCTGTCCAAGGTCCCATCTTTCCCTGTCAGATTCCCATTTCCTTGACTACAGTTAGACTTGACTTGATCGCCACTTGTTCACAAGAAAGACACCCTCCCCCGAGTTGGCTTTTTCCACTCCACTGCACCCATCAGGGGATTTGCATATTGCCCCCTAGGGAACGCCTTCCCTTGTGAGTCTGAGATAAAAGCTCAGCTCTAACCTTGCCTTGACTGATCAGGACTCCTCAGTTCTCCTCACAATGAGGCTCCCTGCTCAGCTCCTGGGACTGCTCATGCTCTGGGTCCCTGGTAAGCACAGAAGGAGATGAGGGAGGAGAATGGGGTGGGAAAGTGAGCTCTGGGGTCCCCACATCCTCCCATGTCAATTCTTACCATGTGTTACTGGCTTATGATCTATGCTTCAAGAAAGGGAATTAGATATTTTTTTCTTGATAATTAGAAACCACCTAAAAGAAACAATGACCAGTGCTCTCATTAAGATTTTAAAAAGCATAAAACCCTCTTGTGCCTTATAAATATTGTGTTCATCCTGGAATGTTTATTGTTTATGGTATAAATGAATTTTTTTTAAAAAAAAGACTAACGAGATGAATGACATAAGAGAAATCATAAAATTTACTAACAGTGTTTATATATAACCTTGTACTTTTCTCTCATAATTTCAGGATCCAGTGGGGATATTGTGATGACCCAGACTCCACTCTCCCTGCCCGTCACCCCTGGACAGCCGGCCTCCATCTCCTGCAGGTCTAATCAGAGCCTCCTGCATAGTAATGGAAACACCTATTTGTCTTGGTTTCTGCAGAAACCAGGCCAGTCTCCACAGCTCCTGATCTATAGGGTTTCCAACCGGGCCTCTGGACTTCCCGACAGGTTCAGTGGCAGTGGGTCAGTCACTGATTTCACACTGAAAATCAGCAGGGTAGAGGCTGAGGATATTGGAGTTTATTACTGCATGCAAGCTACACAAACTCCTCCCACAGTGCTACATCCTTGAACAAATACCTCCCTGCCTGGTTGGTCCAGCTGTCCACAAGTTCTGCTTGTCTGGGGAGGAGCTGAGCAGTGTCTCTGAGTCTGCAGAAGAGAAGGCTGTTGGAACCAGCCATCACAGGGTAGGGTTTGCTGCTGCGGATGCTGCAGCACCTCAGATCCCACCTCAGATCCCACAGGCCTGTCAGTTGCCACAGTCTGGTGAAGGCATTGGCAGGAGAAGTCATGGGTCACACATGAAATAAAACAGCTATGAAGAAGGGAGAGTGAATGAAAACCCACATCCTCACCCTCTCTGTCTTGCCCACATTTGTCAAGTACATGCAGCTGTCAGAATAACCAGACCATGGATGCAGCTGAGTGACAACACAAGTGGAACACATATGGGAAATGACCAACTTGGGGTTTTTTACATACACTATGACACTTAGTCATATTGGGAAATTCATAGTTGCCTATCTTCCAAATTCTGCTCTCTGACTCCCACTAAACCCTCCTCTCCAGTGTCTTACAGGAGAAAACATTCTACACCAGCTGTCTGCAGGGGAGTATGACCAAGAACACTTAGTAAAAATGTTTGATGTTGGATGACTCCGATAGACTTTGTAAACTCATGGCAGGTATGAGATCAAACGATTGATTACTCTCAATAATTATTTACCAAGGGAAAAGACAGGTTTTACAATTCTAAAAGTGGCCTTTGAAAAAAACTGCATAAATACAAATATAGAAAATATAAAGTTTATTTCAAGTACAGAATCAACCATTCAGAATTATGTAAGATTTTTAGTTCTCTTCCAAATTCCAAAAGTTTTGAAAGTATTAGGCTAAGTACTATTTTAGAGTAGAAATGTATTAGTATGTTTTCATAAGAAAAGTTTTCAAAGAATACAGAAATGCATTCTTTTCACATGATTACATCATAACCTGAAAATCAATCTGAATTCTGTATTCTAGTTTTAAATGCATGGAGCATCTATGCTTTTCAGAGATTTTATTAAATATAGTGTTCTAAATGAAACTGAACCTAATAGTGAGTCATGTGAGCTACATGTCATAACATTGTGTCATGGATAAAAAACAATGACTGAATCAACAGAAGAAGATTCGCTTCAGGCTAAGGATATAAGGTATACTTGAGATGATTGTTTACTCCAAGATAACAGATTCCATAGTACATACAATAAAAATTCCACAGTTTCATTTCTGTTAGGTTTAAAAATTGTATGGCAATACTTTTGTAGATATCAATCACACTGGAGCCATCAAATGAAAAAAAAAGTGACACAGTATGTTTTTAAAATTACTAACAAATGCATCACTTAGCTTAAAAGGCATTATACAGAATGCAGTTAAAGAACACAAAGTGTGGCAGGGCACTGTGGCTCATGCCTGTAATCCCAGCACTTTGGGAGGATGATGCAGGCAGATCCCTTAAGATCAGAAATTCAAGATCAATCTGGTCAACATGGTGAAACTCTGTCTCTACTAAAAATACAAAAATTAGCCAGGCATGGTGGCATGTACCTCTAATCCCAGTCAGTCTGTCTGGAGGCTAAGGCAGGCGAATCACTGTAACTCAGAATGTGGAGGTTGCAGTGAGCCAAGATTTAGCCATCTCACTTCAGCCTGGGCAACAGAGCAAGACTCTGTCTCAAACAAAAATAATAAATAATAAGATACAAAGTGTAAGTAGTCTGACCTGGAGCTAAGCAATATTATTGTCACCTTCAGCCCTAATGTGAGTGACATAATCTAAGGAGCTTGAATTTCTATTTTGCTATGAGACATAGTTAGTCTCAACCAATTCAAGGTGGTTAGATATATTTAACAAAAAGAAAAACCGAAAAAAAAAAAAGAAAGAAACAACTTATACAATGCTGATGTAGCAAAGGGCTACACTCTCCAAACAAAATGGTGAAGGGTAAACAATCCCCTAAACCTGAGAGAAAATACACGGAGACCCAGAATTGGCTGGTACAAAGAAGCCTCTAGCTGTGGTTGACTAGGTGGGACAAGGTTCTGTGTCTGTGCCATGACAGTGCAGAGGCAGGCAGGTGACCTTGGTGGTGTCGGTGGCTCTGCTCCATGAGGTCACTCAGGTGGGCTGAGGCCACAACCACCCTGAGTGCACAGCTCTCCTCCTTCCTGACAGTCACTGCCCCCACGCCCATCCTCGGCAGCATGAGTGGAACAGAGTGAAGGGAAAGCTGTTTTCTTCTAAAGATCCAAAAAACTTGAACTTTCAAATAGAGATAAATGTTCTTTTTGCCTCAAGCACACATTTGAGAAACCTTCCATTGAGCTGACCTGATGATAAACCCACATATTTTGTTTGTTTTAACCTGAAAATGTATTTACAGGGTTCTTGGAAATAAATTTTTGACTATAAAATTATATTTATAGCAGCTTATTTCAAGTTGTTATTTACTGTTTGATAATTACTCCTAAAATGTTGTTGATTTTTTTAAAAAGCTATCCGTTGCACTAACTGTCCTTCACTGAAAACAATTTGTCTTTTTAACCTCCCCAGACTCCTTTTAAGCTCTTAAGCTGTTAAGTCAATTTATTATTTATGATGAATTTATTTATGTATTTATTTTTGCTATCAGAAGTAGAAATCCTGTATGTGGATATGTCAAAGATCTGCCTTTACATGGCAAACAGACCCCCTAATACACAAGAGTGCTAAGTTCTTAGAAACCCTGGGAAAGGAGAGGGCTAGCGTGGCATTATCATCTCGGAGCTACTAAGGCAAGAATGGCGTGCAACAACTGGAACATCTGGGAGGAGCCACCAGTGTGTGGAGTTGTGGGGAAGCTGCTCTGTGCTCTGAGACTGAAAGCTCAGCCTTGCCTCTCACCACTGCCTTGACTGTGTCGCCATCTGCTGTGAAGTGAATGGTGTCTTCTAAATTCGTACTGAAGCCCTAATTGCTGAAAAGTGTAAGGCATGAAACAGGGGATTATATGCATCTTCCCAACACCAACATGATGTTTGCAGTTTTCCCGTCCTTTTCTGGGATTTGGCTGAGAAGATGCTGACTGCTCTAGCCAGATTCCTGTCAGAGGATGCATTTGGAAGGTTAATAAAAAAAGCTTTAGGTAGTTAGTGCTGGATTCCAGGGAGGGTACTAGGGTGATGGATCTGGATTCCCAGCATGGGGGATGCCAGAGCGGATCCCAGAAAAGTCTACAGGTGTGAGAAGAAAGGAAATAGATCTCAGACCTGTGGCCCCAGCCTTAGGAACCTGAGAGTAGGGACCATTTATCATAAAACAAGGGGCAAAGGAGAAGCTGGGTGATCTTTGAGGTTTGGGGAGATGAAGGCTATGTTCCAGGTAGAAGATGATGGAGGATGCCCAACAGTGGGTGGTGGGGTGGAGGTGGGTGAGGGGTCATATTTGGAATACACTTAGGGTCTGGGATCTTTGGCTCCACTTCTGTTTGTTGTGAGGTGCCCAGTGCAATGTGCTCTCCACACAGAACACATGAGTAGTCTTCATTTTTTCATTATTTTTTTCACATTGAAGATTTCTCTCTGCCTCTTAGTGCTCAGGAAGAAGACTTTTTGTTTTCTCTTAGGATTCTTTTACTAAGCAAGATTTTGCCTCTCCTGCACATTTCCCTTTCCTGATTTTTCCTCTTCTTTGACAGAAGATGGCCCGGGCACTTCACTACTGAGTCACAAACTCTTACCCAAAGCCCTCAGTCTAGTGTTGCTGTCTTCCTTCATGCTATTTTTGTTTGCTTCCTTGTAATAATCTTAGCAATAAAGTAATCACTTTTTATTCATAGCTATTAAAGATGTTATCTTTGTTAGTTACAGTGGTTGCTTCAGAATGATAAATGGACTTTCAAAATGATGTTAAGAGATCCAAATCCATGTGATTCAGAAGTTGCCTGAAGCTCCATCTAGCATGGGTGCCAGTGTCTCTCCCAGAATGCTCCATGCAGCTGAACACCCAGAGTCCCTCTGTGCTGTCATGTCACGCATTGCCTTCTGTAAATGAGATATTCTAATAAAAATCCTGGTGGATGCTATTTGAGCCAGCACCCACATAATTCCTATGAAAGCTGAGGGCTACAGGCCCCTGAAGTCAGACACAGGTCTCTAGACTCACAGGTCATGACTGTCCTCTGTAGACACAGCTTCTTCCCAGATGGCTGAGGGTTGTCATTGGCCGTGTCCTTCCTTGTGCATGACAACAGGAGGCAGAGCAGGTCTGTAAGCAGCCCTGCAAGCCAGGTTCTCCACAAGCTCTCCTGTGTGGGTCCTTCTTACCTGGACATAGGTATATATACCAAAAATGAAACTATAAGCTCCCTAGCCAACTAAATGAACTTCTCCTCTGAGCCAAGAACATACTAAAATCAACCTAAAATACAAGTACAGGTGGTATACCCGAGCAAGTTGAAGAAAGAGCCACACTCTAAGATTGAAACAGGAGTCCTTTATTTGCTGGTGACTGAGAGATGGCTAAGCTCAAATTCTCTCTGCCCAAAGAAGGGGCTTTTGCTTTCTTTTATACCTTGCTTAAAGGAGGGGAGAGGGAGCCTAGCTAAAGCAGAGTTTACAGAAGCAGAGCAAGCAAAAGGTTAAAAGGATAAGCTACTACAGGAAGATAACAGTTGTAAATGTGGGTACATTCCATGGAGCTGCTGATACCATTGGCAAACGCATCACAGGTGCAGCTGGTACAGCTTAACTCGGTATCTTATCAGTAAGGATATTCCTGGGTCTGTTTGGAGTCAGCCTAACCCAGTTACGTGCTCAGGGGAAGGGAAAAGAAAACGGGGGGGGGGGGGCAAGTGAAGAAGCTTAAATGGAGTCTGTCCATCTCAAAAAGCTAAGAAAGTGGTTAGGCTAACAAAGGGTAGGTTATTACATTTTCCACTTATGTTTTTGGGGAATCAAATTGTTGATTCCTCAGCTATAACAAGGGGGTTTTATTGAGTTCTGAGATACATAAGCTTGACAGAAGCTATGTGCTGTTTTATAAAATTAAGGAACCAATTTAGCATATAAGGTCCAAAGATTAACCCCAACAGAAGGAGAAGCAGGGGTCCCGCTAACCCAGTTATCAGCATAGTTAGCCATGGATTCCAGTTAAACATGTCTTGGTACCATGGGGGTGTTATTTTCCCACTCCTGTTGGCATTTATCTAAATTCCCCTGAACTCTTTGAAGAGTGTCATTTATTACTCCAGACTGGTTAGCATAAAAACAACATCTCTCCCAAAGCAGCACATAAACCTCCTTGGCTGAGGAACAGTAGATCTAAGCCTCAGCAGTTTTGGAGAGCCACTTCAGCTAGGGATTCTACCTGGGCATTAACATATTAATAGTTGATTGGAGATTTCTTAAGTCAGAGTCTACTTGAGATAGGGACACTAGTCCAGTTTCTCCTCGGACTAGAGTGGCAACGCTGATTGCTGCTGACCCAGCCACACTAAGGCCAGCCAGAAGGGGCACCAGGAGTGGGATGCCCCAGCGGAACCTGGAGTGCAGTTTGGGGGGAGCAATGAGTTGTTGTCCTTCCAGCCCACTGTACACATAGACCTGGGGAAGCACATGGACCAACAAGCACAGGAGAGGTCCACGTTCAGTTCCACTGATG